GCAATCAGGAATCCACACGTTCGCCTGTAATAAGAACTGAATCAAGTATTTGCCGTCCTCTAACAAAAGCATTCTTGGAGTCCGAAATAATCCCATCCATGACATCCCTCATCTTAAGAGCAAGAACCTTGGCCATGAGCTTGTAAATGCAGCCCACTAGGCTAATTGGTCTAAAATCTTTAATGTCAGAACTACCGCCCTTCTTAGGGATAAGGGCAATGAATGAGGCATTTAACGACTTCTCAAAGACGCCAGTAGAATGAAACTCCTGAAATGTACCCATCACCTCGTTTCTCACCACCGCCCAACTTTCCATCAGAAACTGCATAGTAAACCCATCAAGCCCCGAAGCTTAGTCCCTGTTGCAACTTGATAAAGCCTTTAGAACTTCCTCTTCAGAAAAAGGAATCTCAAGCCCATCTCTATCCAACTGAGAAAGAGCCTCAAAATGGAGGCCATCAAGCTTGGGTCTCCAAGCTAACGGCTCGGTGTAAAGCTTCTGATAAAAAGAAACGATCCCATTACGCACCTCTTCCTCCCTCCACAATTCCATACCATCCACCCGAATTTGCCCTATGTGATTACTCCTTTTGTGGGCATTAGCAAATCTGTTAAAAAAATTTGTGTTACGATCTCCCTCTTTTAGCCATAGAGCCCGAGATTTTTGTTGCCACGAGATCTCCTCCATACTAGCAATCTCAGCAAGAACTGCCTGACATGAGGCTCTCCTAGAACGTAGAGACTCCACATCCCCACCCACCTCTTCAAGACGATCAATCTCAGAAGATTCAGCGAGGAGTCTATTCTTCCTCCATTCAAAATTCCCGAATACATCCTTATTCCTCCATTTCTTAAGCTCGTGTTTGAGAACCCTTAACTTCCTGGCTAACGTAAAACTAGACGAACGTGTAACCGTTGCTTCCTCCCACCAAGACCGAACTTTCCCTTGGAAGTCCTCCGTTCTCAGCCACATATTCTCAAATTGAAACAGGAAACATCGAGAACTTAAACCCCCACAATCTAAAACCAGAGGAACATGATCAAAGGTGACCCTTGCTAAAACCGCCTGAACAGCATCCGCGAATTTCTCTTCCCACTCCCCAGAGATCAAAAACCTATCCAGCCTTGATAAAGTAACTGGGTCCCTGCCATTGGACCACGTATAGGTTGCACCTTCCATTGGTAAATCAGTGAGAATATGCTCATCAATAAAGTCAGAAAACTGAACCATATCTAAAGACCACCTTCCCCCTGTAGACCTCTCTAGCAGGGATTTAACATAATTGAAATCCCCACCCAGGCACTAGGGAAGAGAACACAGTCCACCAACGGGCCAGTGGCCTAACGGTATCGGCCTCTTACTTCCCAAAGGGAGGTCAGGGGTTTAAGTCTCATAAGAGACGTGTGTGTGAGTCCAACTAGGCAAAAAAAAAAAAAAAAAAAAAAGATACCACAGTCCCTGAACATGGCAAAGCTCCTCCTAAAAAAGAGGTCGATCACTATCAACTACCGGTCCATAGACCCCAGCGAAAACCCATTTGAAATTGTCCTCCTCCATCTTAAACACACAGGACACAGAGAACCTCCCCATCCACACGTCCATCCGAGACAACCATCTGCAATCCCACATAACTAAAATTCCGCCAAAAGTACCTGAAGCATTCAAGGCCTCCCATTCCACAAACCTTCCCCCCCAAAGACTCCTAACAACTCCATCAAAAATGGATGCCAACTTAGTTTCTTGTAGTTAAACAACCTGGGCTCCCCACTTCCTTAAAGCTACCTTTACCACCCTCCTTTTGTCCGGATCGTTGAGACCACGAACATTCCAAGTAATGATTCGTAGCTTCATTAAGAACCAGATAAAATTATCTCCCCTCCTCCCCTCCTTACACTCCTACTTCTAGTCCTTCCCCTCTCCCTCACTGCCCCTTTCTTCCCTTCATGGTTGACATAAGAGATAAGATTTTTGATCTCCTGCTCCCCTTTCCAAGACGATAAGGCCTCGTATTCACAACCTCATTAGTCACTGCAACCTCTCTTCCTTCCACAATTGCATGAAGAATGGATAATGCGTGATCGCTATTACCCTCTGATGAGACACCCAACAGCTCACTAGTAACTCCTATATTTGCAACTACCCATTCCTTAACTATATTAGCAGCCATTTCAGAGCAACCAAGTTGCACAATAGCCAATGGTTCCTCCATTACCAAATTAGTATGGTCAGTCTCCAACCATGGAACAAGCTCGTTAGAACAGACCTGTTGAATGGAAACCAAGTCATCAATCACCTCCTCTGCACTATCTCTTCCATTTATAAGCAGCTCTATCATCGAATCCGTATCTCTAGCATAGTCACCCATTCCATGACTCAAGAATCTGATAGACTCATTCACCTCTAACCCTACAGGTGGCAAACAATTAATACCTTTCAAAGATACCCAGAGATGAAGCTTTTTGAGCAGAGCCAAAGCCGAATCATTGGACAGCTAAAAATGAAGATCACGCCCCACACAGACCATAACCCCCTCAGATGAGTCCTTTACAACACAATCAACTAGGTCAACATGCCTAGGGAGAACAGGCCCATAGCCAACCTTCCCTCCCGTAATCACTCCAGGCTTAAATTCAAGCACCGAAGGTACAACTGGTAACACACAACCCTTATCCGTCGCTGTCTCAGCATCACTCCTCAAGCCCCCACAAGGAGTATGAGAAGGAGGAGCAGTAGGAGCGCTCCGAGGGTGAGGAGCAGATGACATACCTAGGTCGTTGATAGAAAGGGTGCACATCCACTTCTGTTTATCTTTTCTAGACCATCTATTACCATGGTGAAGTATGTGAAAGCCCCGAGTAGAGAATCTAAAATTTCTTTCCTTCGGCAGTGCAAGGATAGAAGGAAAAGATGCTACTGATGGAGCAACGCAACACTGATTATGTCGAAAAGTCTTCTCGTCCATGCTCAAACATCCATCTCCTCTTCTCCGACGAAGTCCACAAGCTGTTTACAGAAGAGCCGTAAGAAAGACTCTGTGGAGGTTCTGTATTGCTGGGCTCTATAATGATCTTTGGGCTGGGCTTGGTATTTGGAAAAGCAATGGAAATAAGGTTATTGGCCCCATGTGACCTTCCTCTTTAAATCATTAAAGTTATGTGGCCATTACACGGCGTAGTCCTAGAAACTGTGGGTTTATCAGGCCTAATACGCAGATCAGGCCAACGTTATCTGCATGAAAGACACCTGTTATACCTCGTGCCTGTCCACGTGGTTGGCCTCCAACATTCCGTTCAAAACTAGGGAGCCAAAAAAGGAATGGAAGGGGGCGTTACACGTGCAACTCGCAATCTTCCTTCCCCCACTCGCGTACGGCGCATTGAGGAACATGCGTCGTCGTCCATGAGGGCCGAGATGAACCTGCAACTGCCGTGAACGATGACTGCTTCCAAGTCTTGTTTCGTTGGGTAAAAGGGGGGGGACCTTTAGTGCCATAAGATGACTTCGAAAGTATGAGTGGTGAGGATTCCTCCGTCAAAGCGACCTTAAAGGCCACCCTTTAATCTTCAACAAAGACGAACTCCAGTATCACACCTCCGGCAGAAGCGTGGAGAACAACTCTCTCACCTCCCACCATCTCGTCTGCCTCCACACCTCTGAAACCACCACAAAGAACTCCTATGGATTCGAATAGTTTCTGGCACCATAGATGGAGAGGTATGCCGTACATCACCACCCTTCTTACCCCGTCTCTTGTTCTCACCGCAGAGCATCCCACCGCGAAATACCAGACATCAATTGATAGGATAGCATCTCCCCATTTCTTCTTCCCTGAAACGAAATTTGTGCCTCTTCCTCCGATGGTAGTCTGAACAGAAGCAAACCGTCGGGCAGGGATGACACCACCACCCCACTCGATATCTTCCAAGTCTTCGTCGCCCACGTCTCAATCCTATCAGTGCTTCCCACGTCTCGATCAAAACGTCCAACTAGGCATGATTTCAGAGTAGATTCGCGAATCTTTGTACTTTGATTATCAACCCTAAACACCCTTTCCTTGCCAATTGAGAAACTTTTGATCTCGCCGTTGAAATTGAGGCATGGAAGTGTCGCCACATCAAGGAAAGACCAACGCATATCACAGATCCACACCAAACAATAGAAAAGAAGATAATCAAAGGACGACGGAGTGGATGACTCCGGCGCCTTAGAGGGTAGAGAGAAAAAAGAACCATGTCTTATTTAGGGGTTCTATAGACTGCAAACTTACTTGTCCAAAGTTAGATTACTTGGAATGTATATTGGTAGATTCAAAACAAGATCTACAATCAAAGTTTATAAATCTAACATTAAACAGAACTTTTATGTTTAATCTAGGTGGAAAAAAAAAAAACAAAAAACAAAAACAAATAGTATAAAATTGAAAATTTACCAATTAATTGAAAGCTCGGAGTGCTTTGAACTAAGATCTAAGCCAAAATAATTGATTCAAATTTTTGGGGTAAGGATGTTAGAAAAAGAGAGAGAGAGAGAATAGGGAAAATGGGGAAGAAATGAATATTTGGCATTAGATTAGCGGTTGGCATTAAATGGCCTTATCACCCATCACAGAGCCAAATCGGCCTTTATGGACCGAGTTTATCTGACTCCCTGCCGAATCACCAATGATTGGGCCATAACATTATAGGAACAACTCAAGCCAAGTCCATTTCCACAACACACCACCAACCCCCACCCCCCCCCCCCCCCCCCCCCCCTTCTCTTTTCTCTTTCAAAAAGAATTTTCTTCCAAATGCAACTCTCTCATGAGAAACAATGAAAATAGAGTTTCTTATCATATTTCATATCAAATCATAAGACATGCTAAAAACTGAAAAATATTAAGTCAAAGGTTGCCTTCATTGACAACTAGCAAATATGTATATGTACATATATTGCACATTAGCAAAAGAATAAAAGCAATGACATGGAGAAAAAGAAAGATCCGTTTATAGTATTTCACCTTGTATAAGGAATCAAACACTTGGGTCACAGGTTCCTGAGATATGACATAATCACTATGGTTCACCAATATACAACAAATCCAAGGAAGAACATAGTTCCCACTGCATGATCTGTAGAGGAAGAAAGTGTCAGATGTTGAACGAAAATGATTTATTACAATATCTTTGTTCTTTTTTTTTGGTAAGTATTTATGACAATATAACTGCTTGCTGAAAATCAATTTTTTACAAGAGAATGATTAATTTTAGTGATAGCCTCGGGAAGAAAATAATAAATAAATAAAATTTTACTCAAAGTGAAGTAAACATTCAATGTCATATTCAAATAATAAAGACAGCTTCGTACTTTGCTGAAACTTAAGTCTCAAATTTAGATTCCAAGTTGGTTTTTTTTTTTGCATTGCTGAAGGCAAAAGTACCATGCACTAAAGGCCAACTACGATTAAGCAAACGGAGGAGCGGAATCGTCCCTACACCACCCAAACATGGGAAACTAAAAATAAAGGAATGGAGAAATGCACCTTGATAGCCACATGCTCACCAAGACTTTCAGCAAGCCATACGCATCACTAGGTACCATAGATAAAACAGCAGCCCTCATCTGATGAAGATAATTATAGTCAGCAGAAAATTTTGAAAAGTGCATTTGCCAATCAAAAAATGAAAAACTGAAAGAGAGGGGGGGGGGGGGGGGGTTGTTGCACTTGAAATAAAAGAATGCAGCTGAACCAAGTAACAAAATTAATATATTCCATTCATGCCAAGAAACAGACCTTTCTTTGTGGCATATTAGCTTCAAGACTGATTCCCTTCAACATTGTAGAATCAAACACTGAATTAGATGTAAGATCATCTTTATTGTTTAGTATACCTAGGGTTCTCAGCCGGTCCTCCATGCAAACCCTTACATTGTCAATTCCAACATTATCCACATCATCTGCAAAGACGAAGACACTAGCAATTAAAAGTAAGCAAAAGCATGATATGAACTTTTCTTTCAAACGTGTTAATCTTTAACAACAGAATTAGAGAAGCAGAAATATATGAAGATGTATTCAAGAAAAAACATAGCAACGCCAATGTGTCCCACACATATCCAAACCATACTAACAAATATATATATATATATATATTTCAAATTTCAGATATTCCCTGACCACATTGACAAGTATCTAATATGGCCATGGCAATCCCTAGCGAAGTATCTATGCTTTCAAGGTTGTACATCTCCTCTTTGCTTCCTCCTCCGGCATCAAACTAAAAATCAACCTCCTATTGTATTATTACCAATTCTTATGCTCTTCACTTCCTCTCCAAAAATAAGATCCTACCGTAGTGGCACTATGTAGTACCCAAAACATTTTTCTTTTCATATATAAATGGTTAAACAAATAACTGTCAAGAGCTGAGTAATATATAATAAGAATGCGATTATGAGTAATGTGTAATCTTTTCTTGTGCATAGGTTCAATCATAACATGAAACATAAAAGAAACAAAAAATTAAGATGCACTCAGATCATGAAATCCATATATAGAAAATCCCAGAATTTTTAAATAGCATCTTGTTGATTTTTGACAAAAAAAAAAAAAAAAAAAAAAATACAATCAAATTACCAAAACTAAAGCGACCATAACAATGTCCCAACAAATTGATATTATTGCCTTCATGGAATCAAATGATTATTCTATAATTTAAACAATAACCATGTAAAATGGCTTATACCAGAAAACTGAAATTTGGCAACTTCTATGTAAAACGCACCTCTGTTTGCCACAGCCATAGCTCCACCCTCGTTGACTAAATTATCAGCTGTCATCTCCTCGGGATCAATACTTGAATTCTGATCTCTTTTCTTCTTTTCATGAAAATCAAAAATCTTAGGCATTGGACATAAAGCATCTTCTGCGTTTGCACGGTCTAGAGCAGTAACTGTTTATTATCATACAAGTTGTTAATGAGCCCACAAAATCTAGAATGCAAAACAGAAAAGAGTTACATATAGTACATGAATCCTTATTCAAATAAATAGGGACATGAAGAAATGCATAAAAGGAGAAAAGAGTAAAGACGGGAAAAGGTACCACGAGAATCAAATCCAACCTAAATTACTCCTTTCAAGACTCAAAGAATGAAATAAGAGTTTCACATTTCACATGAGGGTACATAGTCAAATAATTAAATTTAAATACTTCCAAATAACCAAACCATTAGCATTAAAATTAAATTGAAACATTTTTTAAGAAATAGGTAGGAGTCGATAACTCCAAGCAAAAGGGCCCTCCAAGTCAAAAATTAAATATTGGATAAATGTGACCATTTTGGCAAATTATTGGCAATTACATAAGGAAAGAAAAGACAGAAAAGACAGGAGCATTTTACAAATGCATTAATTTCATGAGATGCTTTTTCCAATACTTTCCTCTCCTACATGGATATTTCAGCACAAGTATCATCCAAGTTGGGAACACTCACTAGCATGAAAACCCTATTACCCTAGATTTTAAGTAGCAAAATTGGAAACTTTGCCATGTTAGTTGTGACCCTTCCTATGAAGATTTGAGGATTGGAAGAATCAATCACCACAATACATATCCAAAGCCGACTTGTTGAACGGATGCACATGCATGATGTAACAGGGTAATTATAAACATTTAAATGGGTGCATCAATTGGAATTAGCATAAAATCATAATTGAGCGAAACCTATCTTTTTTTTTCTTTTTTTCTTTTTTTTTTTTTGATAAATATGCAAAATCAAATTTATCCATGTAAAAGGAATGTAAAAAGGTAACAGAGTGACGAGGAAGAAAGGAAATTCCAAGAGCCCAGGTTTCCATAGTGTAATATATTTCTAGGTCCATAAAGAGGTACACAACTTCCCAGCTTGTAAATGGAATTATAACATTTTGTAATTTTTGGGCAGGCTCATATGTGTAAAAATCTCAAGAGAAACTAACTCAAGAAAATAGAAATCAGAAGTTACTAATGATCCCACCTTACCTTCATTTTGTACATCTATTCCTTTCTTAATTCTGTGAGACTGATGGATTGGCAGAAGGATTCCATCTGAGGAGCTGTTTAATTTTATGTCTGTGCCAGAATGCACTAAAATTTTCTCAAATGATGGCTTTATTAGTGAACCATAGGCAACAAACACATGGGCAGAGGCAGGTCTAGCAACGCCTTGCAACTTTGCAGCAAATATAGTAGGTACTGCACCTTTCTGATTCCTAGAGACACTGTTATCAATATATAAGGAGACTTTTGTGGGCTTGGCATTGCGCAATTCCTCAATATTCTTTCCATACCAAAAATAACAAATACCCATTTCCGAGATGGCCAGAACATATACACCTGCCTCGTCAACATCCCCAGTGTTGATGCACCTGCTATCTAGAAAGACAGCAGGGTGGTCCATTGCAAGAACACAGGAAGCTGATTGCTTTTTGCTTCCATCTATTCTCCAAACTGCAACATACCGTTCACCAACAGCAGAAGAAAGGATGTAGTTTGTGTTTTTTGTGAAGATCATACAACGAACCGCTCCCTATCAATCAGTTGATAAAGTTTGTTACTTCATTAACTATATGTCCAGTTGTGTCAGTGAAAGGGGTAAAGAAAGGAACTTAAAGATGTATGCCCAACTGAAAAATATAATACTCCGTAATAAATAATAAGAAGAACAACAACAACATGGAAACAGAATAATACTCACCGGATGGCCTGAGAACTTCTGTATCTTTTTATGTTCTGAACAATTAAAAATCTTCAACTGAGCAGCTGCAGTTGCTAAAATCATCCCATCTGATAAGGAGGAATACCCATCATTAACAGTTTTACAAATTATAATTACAATCTAAAGCCAATATCAAACGGTGTATAAATTAAATAGAAGTGACAAAGGTAAAAAATGAAAATGCTAATTATCCAATTCATTATAGCAAGCAGTCGATTCTTCTTATATTTGATAAGCATTCAATTTATCACTTACTCCATAAATCCAACTATATATGCCGCAATATTTATTCATTTCCAGGAAGATAATCCATCCTAAACAAAGACTTCGCAATCCCCACCTGACCTAATACCTTAATACCTAATATCTCTGTCTCATAAGACTCATATTAAATATCCCTTTTGAGGATTCAAACTTTTTAGGGAACATGTGTTTGTAAATTGTAAAACTGACCCTCTAAAGTTCAAAGATTTACATTGTTAATCTAGGAAAAATTTACAATACTAAAATTTAGGACAGTTTCAGCCCTTCTAAGGTAACTTTTCAAACGGGATGTCTGTTTTGGGACATCACAAAAAGGAAAAGTGACATTTATTTTGGAAGGAGGGATTAAAGCAGGGGCGGACCTATGTTGCTCTTCAGGGACTTCGACATGACCCAATGAACACCAGAGAGAGCAAATACCATGGCTCAGCTATCCCAAGCCACTGGCGGTGTGAGAGGAGATGATTAACCTACTCCTACACTCTCTTACGCATATAACACCAATTGAAGATAATCTGCTAGCTCCTCAGATTCTCAATCATCAAAACCATCCCAAACACCACTGTCCAACTTAGGAGGTGCCTTGGGGCGCCACACTGCCGTCTAAGGAAATGAAGGCCCGCGAGCATCCACCAACCTCTAATAGAAGAAGCACACCACAAACACCCCATGATTGGAGCCCATCCATCAAAGGATATTGTCAGATTTCTAGGAAATAAATTAGGAAATTCAATTTTTGAAAATAAAATCTGAAACTAATATTTCAGATTTTAGTAGTTTCTGTTTCCTGTTTTCTAGCCTAGAGTTTTGCTGATTTGATTTGCTGATTTTGTGGGCTTCCTGATTTGGTGGCCTTCCTCTACTATTTATCTTGTAATTGTCTCTCTTGAAAAATAAGAAGAGTGAATATTTTTCTTCTTAAAAAAACCTTCATGGTATCAGAGCTTTGTGCTTTTTTTCTTTTTTCTTATGATGTCGTATAAGTCGGCGATGACCGGTGTCCAAGGAAATCCTACCGTCTCTTCCAGTACTTCCGAAACCATTCCGCCCAATCCCACTATTTCTCCCACGAATATTCCGCCCAATCCCACACCTGTATCTGCCGATTACTATTCCCAGAATTTAGCCCTTTATCTCACGGTTACAAAACTCAATGGGCACAATTATCTCGAGTGGGCTCAGTCTGTAAAATTGGCGATCGATGGCAGAGGCAAAATTGGGCATTTAACTGGCGAAATATCGAAACCTGCTGCTGGTGACCCTAATCTGAAAAAATGGCAATCTGAAAATTCTCTTGTTATTGCTTGGCTCATCAATTCCATGGAACCTACCATTGGAAAACCTCACCTATTTCTTTCCACTGCTCAAGATGTCTGGGAGGCCGTTCGAGATCTTTATTCGGACCTGGAGAATTCTTCTCAAATATTTGAGTTGAAAACTCGATTTTGGAAATCCAAACAGAATGATCGCGATGTTACTACTTATTATAACGAATTGGTAACTTTATGGCAGGAACTTGATCAGTGTTATGATGATGTTTGGGAGAATTCGAACGACTACGCTCGCCACAAGAAGAGAGAGGAAAACGACAGGGTCTACATGTTTTTAGCCGACCTTAATCGGAGTTTGGATGAGGTCCGAGGCCGCATTCTTGGCAGAAAGCCATTGCCCTCTATTCGGGAAGTTTTTTCTGAAGTTAGACGTGAGGAGTCAAGGAGAAAAATCATGCTGCGCAACACCGAACATGGGAGAAATCTGGAACCTGAGAGCTCTGCTCTTGTGTTAAGAGGTGTTGATTCTGACAACGACGGGTGCAAGAAACCGTGGTGCGAGCATTGCAAAAAACCATGGCATACGAAGGAGACGTGTTGGAAGCTTCATGGTAAACCAGTAAATTGGAAGCCAAAATCCAAACGTGACGGTCGCGCCTACCAAGCCACTGCTGAAGAGACTCAAGAGCCTTCTACCAACTCGGATGCAGTCTC